TCTCTCTCTCTCTCTCTCTCTCTCTCTCTCTCTCTCTCTCTCTCTCTCTCTCTCTCTCTCTCTCTCTCTCTCTCTCCTCTCTCTCTCTCTTTCTCTCTCTCTCCCTCTGTCTATCTCTCTCTTTCACTCTCTCTCACGCTCTTTCTCTCTCTCTCTCTCTCTATCTCTCTCTCCCTCGCTCTCTCTCTCTCTCTCTCTCTCTCTCTCTCTCTCTCTCTCTCTCTCTCTCTCTCTCTCTCTCTCTCTCGTACACTCTCTCACACGCGCGCGCTCTCTCTCTCTCTCTCTACCTCTACCCCTCTCTTTCTCGCTCTCTCTGTCTCTCTCCCCCTCTCTCTCACTCTCGCACGCGCGCTCTCTCTCTCTCTCTTTCTACCTCTCTCTCTCCCCCCTTTCTCTCTTTCGCTCTCTCTCGCGTTCTCTCTCTCCCTCTCTCTCACTCTCTCACGCGCTCTCTCTCTCTACCTCTATCCCCCTCTCTCTCTCACACACTCTCTCACGCGCGCGCGCTTTCTCTCTCTACCTCTATCCCCCTCTCTCGCTGTCTCTCTCACACACTCTCTCTCTCACGCGCGCGCGCTTTCTCTCTCTCTCTACCTCTATCCCCTCTTTCTCTCTCTCTCTCACACACACACACACACACTCTCCCCTCTCTCTCTCATAGAGAGAGAGCGCGCGCGCCTCTATCCGCCTCCTCCTCTCTCGGAGGCGAGTTCCTCTCTCTCGCCTCTCTCTCTCTCTTGCGCTCCTCCTCTCACTGTATCACTACCCTCCTCTCATCTCCCCTCTCAATAACAATAACAATAATAATGATAATAATAATAATAAATAATAATCGTATAAATGAATACTATCGCGTATCTACTCTCTATCCCTCGCTCTCTCTCTCTCTCTCTCTCTCTCTCTCTCTCTCTCTCTCTCTCTCTCTCTCTCTCTCTCTCTCTCTCTCTCTCTCTCTCTCTCTCTCTCTCTCTCTCTCTCTCTCTCTCTCTCTCTCTCTCTCTCTCTCTCTCTCTCTCTCTCTCTCTCTCTCTCTCTCTCTCTCTCTCTCTGCCTGTAGCCTCTGCACCCCTCACCACTACATACCAGCTCACAACACACACGTCGAGCAAGCCCTCACGAAACGATACACGCCCGTCGGCTGAACCCCGCCCCCACCCAGTCACTCTGCAGCGCGCATCTCGACTCTTCGCGTTTCGGCCCGAAAAGAATGAACGCACTCTCCCTCGGACAGGCCGCCCGACACCAGGGGGCGCCGCTAGCCAATTGCGTAGGATAATGGAAGGCGTAGGGCAGGTAGCGCCGAGACGTCGGTCGCTAACGCGCCGAGCGATTCACGCACACCGTCGCATCCGTAAAAGCTATATATGGGAGTAGCAGCGCCGCAGAGGGCTGGTGGCGAGCGGGGGTGGGGTGGGGGTGGTGGGTCGCTCAGAGGTGCGTGAGGCGCGCCATCTTGACACCGGACCGGCGGCATGGCGGCTGCGCGTCCAATGAGTGCCCCCACGGCGAATCGCGATCACAACTGTAGGTGGCGCCGCGGCGCACCGCTGATATGTATGCGGGGCAAACGCGCACCACGCGTCAAACTCGCTCCACTCCGCGTGGCCACCTGGCGGCGACGGCTGGAAGCCTCGAGGGCGCAGCATCGACAGAACAAGCGGCGGACGTCGCCGCAACGCGAGATCACGAGTAAAAAACGCGGGCGCAAACGACGACTCCGGCCGCCTTGCGCTCCGCCTCCGCGCGCCGGCGCCCCCTGGCCGGACGGTAGCAGCATCACGACTCACAGCGACGGCCTCCTCCACGCCGTCACTAACTGAAGACGTCGGGACTCGTGCCCCAGTCCTGCTTCTCCTTGCACTCCCAGTAGTTTCCCTTGTACATGTGGATGACGTTGCCCGTGTGCGGGTCCTTCTCCTTGCGGAACCAGATCGGGTCGTAGGGCTTGAACGGCCGGCCGGCTGCAACGAAGGTACAGGGTTCATAGTAGTAAGACACATGTTGAAATATGGACTTATAAGACCCTTTCTGGAGGCCAAAATAAGACTTTTTTACGCGATTTCTGATAGATCACCGACTATTAAAGTGCACTAATAATATTTATATACACAATTGCACAGCAGATTTAATTATTCCGTATTATATATACAACAAAAAGGACAAAAAATCAGGACTATTAAGTACTTTTCTAAGATTTCAACAAAAATAAGTATTAATAAGGGCCCTTATTTTATTTTTGGCAAAATAAGTACTTATAAGACTTTGGAAGACCCGCTACGAACCCTGAGGTACGACGCGTGCGGTGAGTACTTCGAACAATGGTGGCTAACGCTCCCGCCTTGATAGCTCGCGACCCGTGCCGCACACAGAGGAGCGATGGTGGGAGCCGACCACGCGATAAGATGTCGTCGTTACGACGAGTTATCGTTAATTTCCATATATGCGTGGAGTCGGACAGTGAGGATCGGAGAGGTGCACGCAGGAGGGAGGAGGTGAGACAACAACAAGGGGGGAACGCAGGAGGGAGGAGGTCAGACAACAACAAGGGGGTTCCTCCCTCCTGCGTTCCCCCCTTGTTGTTGTCTGACCTCCTCCCTCCTGCGTTGGGTCAGACAACAACAAGGGGGGAACGCAGGAGGGAGGGGGTGAGACAACAACAAGGGGGGAACGCAGGAGGGAGGGGGTGAGACAACAACAAGGGG